AAACGGGCAAAATACGTTGTCACATGGCAAATCCAACTGAGTGTTCATTTGCTAATAGCATCTTCATGCTAAAATCTGTTTATTTAATGTCAGAATAAATGTTTAGGTCATAAATTCAAATAAATATAAGTTGTATATACTCCAATAAAATATAATATAGGAATTCATATTATAGCTTATAGACTTTTCTTGATTTTTGACATTTTGAAGAGTTCTGATTTTTATTATATTTTATTAAATAAAAAATTATTTAAAAAATTGTGGCGTTAAGGGTATGTTAAATTTAGCTATTGGAAGAAATATTATGTTGGCATAAGTTCGAAATCAATGATGTTTGAAGAAATGAGTTTCTGAATGCATTAGGATTCTTTGAAAAAGGGAAGTTTTTCATGATTTATATTTCCTAATCTATACATATATAATAAGAATTACCATTTAACAAAAATAGTAGCAAAAAAATAGGAGAGAATTTAATGCAACCTATAAATAATAAGTTTTATTATTTTTTTATTTTTATCTTTGAAAATTCATACAACATTTAATGTTGCATTAAATTTTTGGCTTTAATTCATCTTATTATTTAAAAATTCTAGCTAAGATCTATTAAGTGTGCATTTTTCATTTTTATTTTATTTTCTCATATAAACAACGAAGAACATTAATATCTCAGTCTCTATATTTATAAAATCTCAATTGAAAAGGTAATAAAAATTTTAGAATATCGGTCTTTATATTTATGCCTTTCAAAAAAAAATATTGAATGCTATTCGTTAAATATCATTTTCCACTAATCATCACAATTTTTTTATTTGGAACGTGTGATAATAAACTTGGTAATGTTTATCACTTATTTGTTTATCAATCTATTGTTTTTTCTATACTCCGTTTCAAAATGTAAAATAATTATCAAATTATCAGTCTCAATAATTGTGCATTTATAAAAAATATATTTAATGATAATATATCATTTGTTAATATTACACAATTTTGAAAACTCCATTATAAATTGTATGTTGATATCCAAATCATTTTATAAATGCAATCGACTTTGTTAAATCTCCATGAAAATATGGTAAAACAAAATGAGACGATCAACTTTGTATATAAATAAAATAAAATCAATAAATCAATATGAAGTTCACAGGAAATTAACATAATGAATAATTTGTATAGTACACGGATCTAAAAAATAATACTCACGTGGATTCTAAAATTCAAACTTATATTTATCATCATGTTCTGGAAATTGAATAACATAATTTTAGACATGTATTATTTATAAAATAGTTTAGAAAGATTTAAGGTGACTTCACATCTTCAATAATGATATATAAAATTTTAGATACTTTACATACGCTATATAATATTTTAGGTGTTTTTAATATTTTAACATACATTTTTTATGTTATTTTATACAAGATAAATTTATATTGTTTACAACTGATATACGATAAATTATATCACATATTATCTCCACATCTTAATTACAATTATTAGTTAATATCTCCACATCTTAATTACAATTATTAGTTAATATTGTTTACCCTCATATTTAATTTATAATTATTAATTAATATTATTTACTGTCATCGTTAATTCATAATTATTATTTAATATTATTTACCCGTGCATCGCACGGGCTACACACTAGTTTAATTTATATTCTGTAAAAGGATTACTTGATCTCATTATGATTTATATCTTGTAGGAAATCGGATCTTATGGAAATAAGGAAAGAGGGGCATGCACAAGAAGGAGATCTTGGAGAGAGAAGGAGAAGATCATCACTTACCTTATCTCTTGCTACATATTAGGAAGGAAATCGAAAAAGGAATCCCATGCTTGGAGAAGACTCTAACCCTAAGGAGATCGTATAAATACCCTGATTGAAGATCGAATGAAGGTTGCTGAGATTAATTTTATGAGAGCAATATTCGAGTTTCAAGAGTTGTTCGGTTATTTTGCATTTTTTGTTTACAGTTCAGAAGTTCTTACGTATCTGTGAACTGAAGCTGTTCTAGTTTGTTTTCATTGTTTTCAATTCAAACTAATTTTCATACATTACACTTAGGGATTAAGTGTTGGTTAGAAAGTCTACGGGACGTGGCCGGAGAATTAGTTGATAGGATCGTGTGTAGTTGTGGCTAGACTAGAAGGGAGTTCAAGTTGTGTAAGTCCAAACTATGCAATGTTACGGTTTATCAATGAAAGAGCTCTGAAGAGAAATGAGACACTTTCCTGAAAAATTTTTAAATCTTCGGTTTACTGTTTCCGCTTTTTACAATAGTTTTTTTCACAATTGCACAACGTTTTGCGCACTTACGGTAAAAACATACGTTTCAGCTATAAATTCGATAAGTTAGCTGATAAATTGTAACTAAATAATAATAACTCACGTCTCAAAACAACTAACATCTGACTAACATCTGACTGTTGAGGTGTTTCCATGTCTGCTTTGCACCATGGCATAAAACATTAATAGTACAATAATTTACTATTTAATTTTATTCTTAGATTCGGTACAATCGTTTTACCAGATTCATTTGTTTGATTTGCTTATTTTATTTTATTTAATATGTTTTTGTGTTGATTCGTTTGAGGCGATTTGCCAGAGTTTTTCCATATTTGTTGTTGTACGTGACTGCCAAACTTGCATCCATAAGTCAACTCTATTGTCCTGATTTCAAATTTCTATGACACTTATATTTTTATTTTTAAAATATCTATCAGCCATTTAAGATAATATAATAAATTTTAAAAATGTCCTGGGCACAAGAATTTCATTTCAAATTAGGTTTTTTTTTATTCAATTATCAAATGAAATTAGTTTCGTAGATTGCTTGTGGTCCCCCACTCTAGTTAAAAGACAGTTTTGAACTGTTAGAAAACATTCGAATGATGTTTATCTGTAGAACTCGAAAAGAAAATAACTTTTGTATTTCAATTTGAAATCAGTGTTATAGTTTATGAAAACAAAACGATGATTGCAAATGAACCAATTGCACGTAGCGCAATGGACTAAGTAATTTTTTCACTTTTATTATTTTCAGCATTTCTTATTTTATTTTTTATTTGTTTCTTATTTCATTATATTTTGGTGTCTTTATGTATGCATCAATACATGATTTCAAGAGCAATGCATATTTCACATTGCTTTTCATTAGTATANTTATCGTCTCGTGTTAAAAATTACTGCAATTTATTTTTATTTTTCCATTTCTTTTCATAATGGTATAACCTCATTGGTGCAACATCATGATTACATGGGTATTATTCACAAAATTTATACTGATTTTTCTTTAAAAATATGTATACAACAAGAGAGAAGTTTTCTATTTAAATTTCAAATTGATTTTTCTTTTTTTATTATCTATACTTAAAATGAGACTTTTCACTTATTTAAAATGAGGCTTTTTCACTTACGATCTATCCGTCTTATATTATAATATTTTTTAAAAGTGTTACGCAATGAATGTATAAAGAATTTTTTAATTGATATATACTTTTATTAATTTCTATTTATTATTAATAGGTTTTTTAATTTTATAAAACAAAAATAAAATTAGATATCTATTTTATACATGGAATATGGATATCGAATCGAAACTTATTAAAAGAATAGTTAGTTTTATATATTATACACAAAAGATTGATAACAAATATAAAAGTTATTAACATTTAAATATGTTTCTAATATAACGTAGTCAAGTATTTTATAATTTTAAAAGTCCTATTTAATAGATAGAATATAGATCAATGGACTACTTCAAAACAACAGAAACTGACAATTACGAAGCAAAAAAATAAACCAAAAAATAATAAAATTTAGAAACAAATAACAAAAATAAACCACTAATCAACCATTCATAAACTATAAAAGTTAATATAGTTATAAATAGTCAAAACTTCATAAAATGTGCAAATAAATATGGATTTGTAGGTAAAGAAAGTTAATTTTATCATAATCTAATTACAATCTAGATTTATTTTTGCCAAAGCCCAGATTATCTCATTTGCTAGGCCTGATCTGGACCCGTATTGTCCATAAAATGGCTTGTGACAGTTACAGTTTTGTAAACCGCTTCTTGGGCCCATTTCAAGAAGAAAATATGTGACAAACAGCTATGGTACTAACAACTTAATATGTACAGTTTCTTGAAATTATTGTCATCAGCTTTGTACTCTTCACTATAATCTCTAAATTAGCATGCAATATACCATGCATAAACACATATATAACTCTTTTAAATGTGATTTTTACAACAAAAGAATGGATAATCAACCAAACACGTTTCATGCTCAACCCTTGAGATTGCATATCATTTTAAACCTACATAAATGATCAATGCCAATGCCATGTTTTCTATTCAAGTAGATTTTCAGAATCCCTATTCATTACATAAAAATCTCCTAATCCGGTAGACAAAATCTTCGACCAACAAAATTATATACATATGCATCCGCAATGGAATTATCACACCAAACAATATTGATTCGACTGGTGAAAACCGGCAAATGGCAATACCAACACTTGTCTGTAAGCGCGAAATAAATAAATAAATTGGCCACGCCTAATTATCTCGTTCATCTTCACCACTAGCTAGAATATACTCTTACAACCTATTTATACGAGGGCATAGCCAAAGAGACTCATCGTATATTTCATTCAAATACAATACGTCTTTCACACGCGTTTGTGTCTTCAGGAGGTGGAATTTTTCGTATCCTTTCCTTATGTTCTCTTTCACAAACTCAACTAATAACTCATAATTTGCTATATTTTCATGTGTTCTTGAATTGAAACCATATGATAATATAGATTATCACAAATCACACTCACCTCTAAGTGTATATGTCCATAAAATGTTTCGCGTACGGTTCAAACACTTCACATGCATATAGTAATCGATAAGTCTCGTAAATTCATAACACATCACTTTTTACTAAGAAATTTACATATGCTTCTATAAAAACACGAGTGTTTTTACCTTCTAGGAAAAATGGATGTCGGGGCGCCTCAAAATGTGGCGGGAAATCATTTCGAGGATGTGAAAAGGGTACGCGCCATGGTGGTGGATGATGACCCAATCGTTCGTAAGCTTCATTGTATGTATCTAAACAAGCACGGCCTCGAGAATGAGGTGGCAAAAAATGGCCAAGAAGCCCTCGACCTTTTCGACTCGGGAAAGAGTTTCGATCTCGTGCTCATGGATTTGGAGATGCCCGTCATGAATGGAGCTAGGGTTGTTTAAACATCCCTAACATTTTATTACACTTAATCATTTTTATATTGTTTTTTCATAGCGTCACATTTTAGATTAAAAAAACATGCAAATTTGTTGAAAAGGTATGACCGACCTTCTAACAGTTAGACAGTCTTACTTCTATAGAATTGACATGATTTTATTGTTAATATAGGCGACTAAGGAGCTTCGAGCAATGGGAGTAAAGGCCATGATAGTGGGTGTGACCGCTTGTGCCGTGGAGGAGGAGAGGGCGGCTTTCATGGCGGCCGGTTTGGATGGTTGCATTGACAAGCCGTTGGCCGGCCGAGCATTTATCGTAATTTTGGATGAGCTTGCCCTTAGGGTACTTTGAAAGACTAAAAATGGTGTGTTTTTACATTTGTATGCAATATTGCGAGGACATTGCTTGTGTTTTGTCTTTGATGGTTTAAGGTTGCTGAGTTATATGCTGTATTCAAGTTTTGGTTTGTTCCAAATAATTATTAAATAAAGAGACCTGTTTATTTTTATCTTTATTATTGTTGTTATTGTTGTTTTTTTCTATGTTTTGATAACCAAATAAGCTAGCTTATAGTTTATTTGGTTAGCTTATAAACTTTCTATATTCAAATAAGTTACGTTTGGTAGGACGAACTTTCTGAAAAAACTCGAACTTATCTCATAAGCTTCTTGGGGTAGCTTTTTAAATGAGCTTTATTTCAGCCAGCTTATCACCTAATTTTATCAAACATTTTTATCATATAAGCTATCTTTTCAACCATAGGTCATAAGCTATAAAGCTATAAACTCGAAAATCATTTATAAGCTATAAGATAATTTAGTAGCTATCGATTAATGTTACCAAGCCTCACACGTGTGCGTGTGTGTATGTTTGTGTGAAATAATGCCTATATAAAGCATAGGTCCAATTAAGGTATTGTTTGGTTCGGGGTAAAAGGAGGGGAAGGGAGGGGAGGGGAGGGATTTTTTCACTTTTTCCTTGTTAGGTTCATAAATTTAGATAAGAGGGGAGGGAAAATTTTAAGTTAGAATTTCCTCCCCTCACACCCAATTACAATATTACCCTTATTATATATAATATTTAAATTTTTATTTTAGCATCATTAAGGATATATTTATCATTCTGACATTATTTTCCCTCTCTTTCATTATCTAACCAAACAAAGTTTATCATTTTCCCTACACTCCCCTCTAACATAATCTTTCTAAATCCTTCCAAACAAGATAAAATTATTTTACATCACCTTCCCTTCCCTCCCCTCCCCTCCATTAAAATCCCTCCCCTTCTCCATTGAACCAAACATAGGCTAAGAGATTTATCAGCTCTATATACGACTTATAAATTAAATTAATTGGTAAATAACCTGTCACTTGAAGTAAAACTACAAATGAAGCGAGCAATTTACGAGCACTCGAGTCAAAGCAAAGCTCAAGCTCGAGCATCTCAAACTCGACCCGAACTTGGGCCTAAATGTTATAAGCGCGAGTGCTCAAGAAGCTACTAGAGTATAAAATGTGAATACAATTTACCTAGATAGTCTTAAAATAAACTAAATTCGAGCGAAACTCATAGTCAAACTTGAGAAAAAAACCGTTACTCGAACATAAACATTTTACTAAAAATTCAAGACAAGCTCGAGCAACTTGAACCCAAGTCAGAACTCAAGCATGTAACCTCGAGTATAAATATAATAACTACCTAAATAGCCTTAAAACAAGTTAAACTCGAGTCAACTTGAGAAAAAATTTATTTAAATGGAAATATTTTACTAAAAATTCAAGTCGAATTTGAACGAAATTCAAGCCAATGAAATCCAAGTGATTCAATCACAGGCCTTTGCATATTTTTGTCGTAAAAAGTCAAGATTGAGCAGCAGTGAAAGAAGTCAAGCTTAGCTCGATAAAGCCAAAGCTCGGCTTGACTCGTTCAGTTTGCAGCCTAACTTGGAGTCTTTAGTTAATTCATAGACAACTGGAATTGAAATGAAAACTGTAAGGTGTTCATATCGATACGAATTAACTCGCAACTCGTACCATAGAGCGATTCTTCAATACTAATAAAAAAAGGGAGAAAT